TAAAATTAATGTTCTCCCATGTAAACTATCACATAATTCACAATAAAACATTTAAGAAAAAAAAAAAAAGAACTTAACAAAGCTTAAAAAAATAAATAAAAATTTTTAAATGTGCCCTATTCATTTAAATGAATATGTATTTTTTGTTTTATTCATTTGTGCAAAATAAGATGTAAAAGGGAAATCACAGCATAGAAGCAGATGACTGATGTTACAGGAGGAATGTGTAATCATTAAGATGAAACAAAATGTATAATTGGTTGAAAATAAGGCTGATGATCTTGTCTGTTTACCTTCACTCAATTCACAATAAAAAAGTTAAAGGGATTTGACTTTCTCTTTGTTGTATTTTTTAAAGAAAGCATACTGCAACACAACCATGGATGTATTTGGTGTTGTGAGGCACCTACATCTATAGCTATTTGCTGGGGGAGTTGGGCTTTGGTAAAAGAAAATGCCTCATCTTTGAAGGTGTCAATAGAAAAATGGTTCTGAAATTCTTTGATCCTCAGAGACTAAGAATGCCCTATGGTCCACTAGGCAGAGTCGGGGTTTATGCAGGTACAGTGATAGCTGGAGTCCTCAGCTGAGTCTATCAACAGTCAATCCAAAGGAGCAGTAGATCTACTCTTGGTTATTCCCCCAACCCAGCATGCATAGTATGTATGCACTAAATCGCTGGCAGAATTCCCAATTCTGTTCCCTATTATTATGCTAAGAAGATGTTCATCCCATACTGAGATAGTAAAACATGAAATACAACATCCTAGTGTCAATTTCAGAGATTGTCCCAGTGTGTTTCTTTAAAGGACTTAAGAGATGCATGGATATTATTTCTACCACTTTGTAGCCCGTGCAAAAACTAAATGAGTCCTGGAGACTGACAAAGGCTTATCGCAACATTTATCAGATGGTGATCTCAACTGCAGCTGTTGTTGCAGATGTGTTATCTTTATTGAAGAAACTAAACATTCTTGGCAGTTGGTATACAGCAGCTGACATAGCAAAATGCTCATTTTCTCATTGTGATCGATGACATTGTCATTTACATAGACACCTTTCCTATGTTGCTCGGAGCCAAGTCTCTAACTGTCTGTTATGAAGCTGAGAGAGGCTAGGACTGCCCGAAACCTTCCATAAGTCATTATACCGGTGCCTTATGCTAATTAGACCCCATTAGTAGGAAGTAGCAAGCATCTTAGATATGTTAGTATGAAACATGCCTACCAGAGATTAGGAGATAAATTCTCTCAGGGGACTTCAGAAAGTCTATGGGAAAACAATTAAAAGATAAAAATAAAAAATAGAAACTTGATCTATCAACCATCATTGCTAAGTGCTGTTGAGGCACTTCTAACTGTTAGCAACCGCGTATAGGTTTTCTGAGGCTGTAAATCTTTGCCAGAGCAGAACGCCTCATCTTTCTTCTGAGGAGTAGCTGGTGGGCTCAAACCACCAACCTTGTTGGTTCACTGTCCAATGCTTATCCTATGGTGCCACCACGCATAAGCTCCATCAAGTTCAAGACATTCATAAAGAACTGAGGTCCTGGGTTAATACGTAAGTAAGTACATGGATGCTCAAGGAGCTCTGGTAGCTTAGTGGTTACAAATCAGGCTGCTACTGTCATGGTCAGCAGTTCCAAACTACCAGCTGTTCCACACAAGAAAGATGAGGCTTTCTGCTCCCATAAAGATCCCTGTACAGGGTCGCTATGAGTCAGAACCAACTCCATGGCACATAACAACAACAACATGGAAGCTCTTCAAAGAATTTTTTTAAGATTAGGAAGCAAAACGAAGTCAAGAGAGTAAAACCAGGGCTGTAAGGTGGGTGCCTAATGATTTCCCATTGAAACTCTCACAAAATCACCCTTGTTTGATCAGAGGAATGAGCAAGAGCATTATAATCTTGCCTTGTGTACTTGGAAGGATGGAGGGAAATCCCAGAGAAGGAAGCATGAGCCTAAAATGCTTGTTGCTGGGAAGTGACAGGGTCGGGCAACATATTCAGTAGAAGTCAGACTATTGTAGCTTGGGTCCCTGTAAACATAGTTCCACATCTCCAGGTCTGATGACTGCTTTCTCGTGTACCCTCAGAGATGGAGATGGTGCCCCTGACTAACCTGGAACGACTGACTACACTACCCCCTGGTAAATTCCCTTTAAATAATCTGATGTGATCAGCACTCAGCTTTCAGCCAGGCCCCAAAGATACACTGCTGTTGTTAGTAAGTACCGTTGAGTCGATTCTGACCCATAGCGACCCTGTATAAGGTTTCCAAGAAGCAGCTGGTGAGCTTGAATTGCCGACCTTGCAGTTCAAAGCAGCTTTGCAGTCCAGCACATTAAACCACAGCGCCACACCAGGACTCCAAGGCTACACTAGGAAGAGTGATAAATGAGTTAGGCATGCACAATGCACCCACTGTGTGTATGGTCTGTATTTGAAAGTGGGACCTGTCTTCCCAGTGCAATGATATGCAGGCAGAACAGCAAGACACTGCTGTCTATTGACAGATCTGACCCTCAGAGCAGCAAGGACATAGGCTGGCAAGGACCTGACGGGGGACTGAGGAAAGTGGGAGGGGCCGTGGATTACAAGCTCTGCTGGGGAAAGTTTGCTTCTGACGGTGGTCTAGAGTAAATGATTGAAAGTGTTGGAAGCATCAAAAAATTAGACATTTGAAATCAAAATTCCAGTTTCTTGTCTGGTGTTGGGTGCCGGAGGTAATAGAAAAAGCAGAGTAGAGGGAAAGGTGCATCGGGTGGCAGAGTAAAATTACCTTTCATTGTCAGGGTTCAGGAGACACGGAGGTTTCAGGAAGACAGGAGCGGGGGAGCAGAACAGAAACAGAGGACATGTCTTCTCCATGGAGAGCTTGAGAGAAGGATCTAGAGAATTAAGTCACTGCACATAATGGCTTTCACGTATTTTTTCCAACACTCGACTGTGAAATAACAACGAGTTCTCTGTCACCTTCATTGTTGAGGAATTGGAAGATGACTTATAAAGCCAAAGGGTTTATTCTCTCAGAGTGTCTTCAAACTAGCAAGAAAATTGCAGGTTGCCACTTTACAGATGAAGATTCTAAAATGTAGACAGATCACACCTTCCCTGAGGTGTCGGTGGACAGAAATGGCACTATAGAGATTGCCTGTTTCCTGGCTCCAGTGCCCTGGGGATTTTTATAAAAACCTTTATACAATTGGCATTGCTCACCAGACTCCCAGTAAACATTTGCAGATAGGGCCTGAAATGAGGCTGTTCCTCTGGACATAATTTGGTGCTGACACAACAGAGGCCACACATCTGACTTACAGCCCTGGGGCACAGCAGCATCACCTCTGTTCTGAGCCTACCTGAGCTTGCAGTGTGGGTGATGCTCACAGAATACAGTTGTTTAGGAATCGCTATCTGAGCCTCCAGTGTCATGGGGAGGCCAGAGTTAATGTATTGATCGGTAGCAGGCATTGCAATCAAATCAGAAAGCTACTATTCCAGGTAATCGAATATGTAAAATATTATTCAAAAGACAGCTATCATATGTTATTTTCCACAATTTAAATCTCTGGACTTTTCATTAATGACTGAAAAACCCTAGAGAAAAATACAAATAGATACAATGCAATGTCATATAATGTTAACTACCAGAAAATAAAGAAAATGAACCATTTCCATGATCTCTTTCAAGAAAGTTTCTTTATAGCCTATGTGTCTTTTCCCAAGAATATTTACTTAGATGGTATACAATTTGAATGCTGACTATTCTAACATGAAAAGAGATTACAAGGAGTAAAACTGTAACTAGCCATTTGGGGGTAGGTATCACATTTCTGTCTTTTCCTACATAGCATATCAAGAAGTCTTCTGAAGTAATAAACACTTTCCTGTAGTAGAATCTCAAGTAAAATGTTTCTGTTTCTTGTGTGTGTCCTTGAGGAGGAAGACATTGGAGGAAGTCATGAGGTGCCAGCATCCAACAAAATAGGACCAGGTATGCCTGTTGCAGTGAGTCTCCACTAGGCAGAATCCTCTTGTAAGCACCTGCTCTCCTCCAAAGAGAGATCCTGAGGCCATTAAGCTACAGTCATATGTCACTGGTGAATCAAGTTTAATTCCACCCTACCACAACATGAACAATAAGGAGATAGCACATCCCAACTGTGCAGGACACCATCATCACTGGGAACCCCAACCTGAAATACAGAGAGAAACTGATTACAAAGCAATGTCAAATGAGTAGATTTCCAAACTCCCAGCAATGAGGACAGTCCACCTGCTTCTTGAGTTCTACTCATGCCTGGTGAGCACTGTGAGGTATGGAGGCATTATTGTATAAACAGTACAAATGAATACAGTCTAAGGAACTTTATACAGCCCCCAAATCACCTTCAATTTCTAGAAATAAAAAATCTAGTGTTATCTGGATAAATGCTTCTATTAAACATTACCCATTGTCTTAGAGTTTCAATTGTTTTTCAGATTTTTAATTGACACTCTGGAACCTCAATTTCTCCATCTATAAATGTAGATGGCTGGTCTTGAGGCTGTCATTTACTCACACATCAGTCACAGGCCAGTATTAAATCTCTGGGTGCTACCTCTCCCTATACCTCCTATTTTGCACACATAAAACCATCCTTCTTAAGGAGCTGGCTTCCCAGAGAAGGCATGTTCCCATAGGTTCCAGGAATTCCTTACACATAAACCTGTAAAGAGTTTAAGAAGTGCAATCAGGAAATGAGGCTGTCTCTGGCCTAAATACAGTAAGAGGGAAGAAGATCGTCTATGTTAGGTGAGGTACAAGCTGCTTGGGTTATGTATGTTTTGTCTTCTGCCATCAAGTTCATTCTGATTCATGGTGATTCAGTGTGCTACAAAGTAGAACTGCTCCAGAAGGTTTTCTGGGCTAGAATGTTACAGAAACGTGTTGCTAGGTCTTTTCTTTCATGATGCTGCTGGGTGGGTTTGAACTGCCAACTTTTTGGTTGCTGGTCAAGCGGAAACTCTTTTTACCAACTGGGACCTCATGGATGATGCATATAAGAGAGATTCAAAGAGTTGTGGGAAAATGGAATTAAAAGAGAATGAGAGAGCATTAGCAGATTCAGCAGAGTGGCAGAGTATAAGATCAACCTACAAAAGTCAGTCAGATTCCTCTATACTAATAATGACAGCACTGCCATTTACAATAGCCACCCAAAAGATAAAATACTTAGAAATACATGTAACCAGAGAAACAAAGGACCTATATAAAGAAAACTACAAAACACTACTACAAGAAACCAAAAGAAGCTTACAAAAATGGAAGCATATACCATGCTCCCGGTATATGGAAGACTTAGCATTGTGAAAATGTCAATACTACCCAAAGCAATCTACACATATAATGCAATCCCAATCCAGATTCCAACAGCATTCTTCAGAGAGGTGGAAAAAACAATTACAAACTTTATATGAAAAGGAAAGAGGCCTAGGACAAACAAAGCACTGCTTAAGAAGAACAAATTTTACTACACGGCTACAGTGGCCAAAACAGCCTGGTACAGGTACAATGAAAGATATATAGATCAATGGAACAGAATCGAGAATCCAGAAATTAACCAATCTGCATACTGCCAATTGATCTTTGACAAAGAGCCAAAGAACACTGAATAGGGAGGACATAGTCTGTTCAACAGATGGTGCTGGCATAAGTGGAAATCAATATGCAAAAGATTGAAACAAAAACCTTTACCTCACACCATATACAAAAGCCAACTCAGCATGGATAAAAAACCTAAATGTGAATCCCAGAATTATAAAGTTCATCAATCAAAAAATAGGGACAAATTTAAGGGCTCTAACACAGAGCACCATCACTCATCTGTCAGTTTCTCATACTATGGTGGCTTGTGAGTTGCTGTGATTCTGAAAGCTATGCGACTGGTATTTTAAATACCAGCAGGGTCACCCATGGTGGACAGGTTTCAGATGAGCTTCCAGATGAAAACAGAATAGGAAGAAGGAGTGATGAAT